TCGTCAGGCTTTTGATGCTGTCCCACAGGACACTTGCATGAGCAAACCAGGGCAATATTGTCTAGATGAAATTACTATCAGGTGGTTGCACAACTTTGAAAAAAAAAACATACACAGAGAGTAGTTATCAATAGTTTTATGGTCAAATTGAGGGGACATATCTCGGGGGGTCCTGTAGGGGTCTGTGCTGCGTTGGGTACTGTTCTATATTTTCATTAATGAATTTGTCGATGAAGCATTGAGTACACTTATAAAATTTACAGGTGATAACAAGCTGGGAGGGGTTGCAAGAACATTGGGGGAAAGGATTAGAATTCAAAATGATCTTGATAACATGGAGAATTGGCCTGAATCTAGAAGATGAAATTCAATAAACACAAGTGCAGGTACTGCACCTAGGAAAGAAAATGCCCAACTACAAACTGGGGAGTGACTGGTGAGGCAGTAGCACTGCGGAAAAGGATCTCGGGTTATCACCAATTGAGTGTGAGTCCATAGTGTGACGCTGTTGTGAAAAAAGGCAACTGTCACTCTGGGCTGTATTACCAGATTTATCGTATGTCAGACATGGGAGGTAATTACTTGGCATTGGGGGCCTTCGATGGAGAACTGTGTCCAGTTTTCGACCCCGCACTTTAAGAAAGATGTGGTGGAAAAATTGCAGAGAGTCTAATGGGCAGCAACAAAAATGGCAACCTGACCTCTGAGGAAAGACTGAAAGAACTGGGTGTGTTTAGTCTAGAGAAGAGAAGGCCGATGGGGGACGTGATAACAGTCTTCAGACAGGTCACAGGTTGTGCCACAGGGTAGCAGGCCCCTGAGGAGGTCAGGCACCCAGCCTCCCCGTGACAGGCTCTGCTATGGAAAAGGAGCAAAACCAGATCCCCCTGTGAGCAGTCAATTAGCTAAAGAACACCTGGCACTAATAAAGGTCTGCAAGGGCTCAGTCAGGACACACAGATCACAGAGGAAGCTGCTGAGAATTGCAATTCTCTCTCAGGGGGGCTGGTTAGGGAGCTCCCCAGGAAAGGGGACCTAGGAAAAGTGGCCTGGAGGGAAGAGGTTCCAAAAAGGGAGAGCTACGAGTGCCAAGCACCTAGCAGGGAGCTGGTCCCAGCGAAAAACCCCGTTCCCAGACAATGGCAGATGCTCCAGATCACAGAGTAACCACATGGTGCTCTGGAGACGAACTGCAGTGCTTTGACCTCTGCAGGGGCCCTGAGCCCAGAGTGGGAACCGTTCCCAGCTTTGGGCAGGAGGCCTGACTCCAAAGGGGGATTGTGAGTCGAGTGGGCCTTACTGGTAAGGAGCCTGATGGAGAAGGTGGATGGACTCTGGTGGGGCAGACACACTAAGATTAACTCGCTTTCCCCGACCCCAAGCTAGGATGCTGGGGTGAAGGCTGGCTTGTGTACCACGATTTGGCCTTTGGTTAAATAAATCAGACCCTGAAGGGACACTGTACACCATATAACAGCCTCATTGAACTCATGGAAAGCCCACAGTGGGAAACTGAGGCAGGGACACAACCACAGTTCTGCACTGGGCCAGCAAGTGGACTCCACAGGTGTGTACCCACCAGAACAAGTTGTTACAAAGAGAACGGTGATCAATTGCTCTCCATGTCCACCCGGTGTAGGACAAGAAGTAATCTTAGTTTGGAGCAAGGAAGATTAGGTTAGATATTAGGAAAAACTTTCTGCATATGAGGATAGTTCAGAGTTGGAGTAGGTACCAAGGGAGGTTGTGGGATCCCCATCACTGGAGGGTTGTAGGAAGAGGTTAGGCTAACACATGCCAGGGATGGTCTAGATATGCTTAGTGTGACCAGATGTCCCGATTTTATAGGGAAAGTCCGATTTTGGGGTCTTTTTCTTATATAGGCTCCAGTTACCCTCCATCCCCGTCCCGATTTTTCACATTTGCTGTCTGGTCACCCTAGATATGCTTGGTCCTGCCTTAGCATGGGGGGATGGAATAGATGTCACCTTGAGATTCCTCCCTGCGCTACATCTCTGTATATCTATATGGAAGAGACGGTGCCAGCCCTAATCCCCATCACAACCCAATTCAGACTAGAAATAAGGTTCATATTTTTATCAAGCAGGGTCATTAACCAAGGAATCAAATTACCAAGGGACACAGTGGATTCTCCTTCCCTTGGAGTCTTTAAATCAAGACTGAATGTCTTTCTAAAAGATACAAGGCAGCTCACAGAGAAATTGTGGGCTCTATGCAGAATCGCTGCGTGAGGTTTTCTGGCCTGTGTGATACAGGAGGTCAGACTAGATGATCGGAAAAGCCCCTTCAAGCCTTAGAAATCTATGGATCCCAAGAAAATCAGTTCCTGCTGCCTTGGATAAGATGATTCTACACGAGGCGCAGCTGTGAGTGCAGAGAGAACACGCAGGGGCCTGGAGGGATCATCTCTACCATAGTTTGTCCTGCAGGGGTCGCTGTGCTCAGTGACGTGGTTCTCTTCCAACCAGGAGCTGAGAGCACCACCAGCACAGCATCCCCAGTCGTCAGGAGCTCTGAAGGGAAGAGACCAAGCCCTAGCCCCAGGTGGCAATGAGACCCCTGTGTCTGAGCTGGGAGGAGTCTCACACCAGAGGATAGGAAAGTAACTCACATGGGGTTCTGCATGCCATGGTCGGCCAGGGAGTCTCCTACATGGATCTGGGCTCCCCTGATTCTCTCCCCACAGCATTCGTCTTCCCTGTTCTTCACGATCACCGCAGAGACAGACTGACGACTGCCCAAATCCACGGTCCACCACGGCTCTGTGTCGAGCTGGGTGTGACTGCAGGAACCTTGTGCCCACTTCGCATCGCGTTTTCCATCCACGGCCTTTCCAGCCACGGCTTTTCCTGTCTCTTTATTCTCGAACGTGGAGGACTGAGTGGCCGGGCGCCCCAGTGCCAAGTTCCAAGCTGGAATCAGAGGGCGAGAAGAGGGGAGCTGGGACGTGCCCATCACTGGGGGGCTTTAGACACCCTTTGTCCCACATGGAGCCAGAGCCGCTTCCCAGCAGTGACACAAACCAGCCACTGCATGAGAGCCAGGTTCATAGTGGGAGCCATGGTCCCAGGGGACGGGAATGACAGCGGGTAAGTGCTGGGTTCCCAGCCCAGGCTGAGATCCTCTCAGCCCCCCATGTCCCATACCCAGCTGGAGCTGCTCCCCAAGGCAGGGATTGGGCAGGATGTTCAGATGGATCCTCTCCCGTCTACCCCTGCCAGCTGGAGCCCCTGCTCAGGTCAGTGGTGGGAAGGGAAGAGTCTCCCAGGGTTTCTGCTGTCTCACTAGACAGAGGTTGGGGCAGAAGGGAATGGGGTAGAACAGAAAAGGGAACAAGTTTCCATTCACGTTGTGCCAGTTCCTTACCCCCTGGTGGTGGGGCACAGCCCTGAGCTAGGACCTCGACCTCACACAGGGTGAGAAACTCCGCCCTGCCCGGGATGACGATGGTGACGTAGCGGCCCTCCAGCCCGTTACAGCAGATGGTGCTGACGGATCCTGGTCTGGTGTCGGTGATGGTCCCGCAGCTAAAATCAGAGCAGAAACCAAGAAAACAAAACTAGATAGATATATTCTAGTCAACAGGTCCTCATTAAATTCACCCTAGGGTACTTAAGGAGCTAGCTGAAGCAATCTCAGAACCATTAACTATTTGAGTGAGAGCTCATGGAGGACAGGTGAGGTCCCAGAGAACTGGAGAAGGCCATACATTGTACCTATCTTTTAGAAGGGGAACAAAGAGGACGTGGCAAATTCTAAACCAATCAGCCCAACTTCCATACCTCAGAAGATACTGGAACAAATGATCGAACAATCAGTTGGAAAGCAGCTGGAGGATAAGAAGGGGATACGTTAGAGCTAACATGGATTTGTGAAGGACAAATCATGCCAAGCCAATCTAATTTCCTGCTTTGACAGACGAACCAGCCTAATGGATGGGGGGAGGCAGCAGATGTTCTCTGTCTTGATTTTAGTAAGGCTCTACCCTGGATTGCCCTGCAGCGGTTGCTGTGCTCAGTGACATCGGGTTCCCTTCCACCGCCACCACCGTGCCCCCAGCCTCAGGCAGCTCCGAGGGCAAGAGACCTCACTCTGGCCCTGGCTGGCAACCATGCCGCTGCTTCTGAGCTGGGAGGAGTCATCTCACTCCAGGGGATGGGAAAGCAACTCACATAGGATTGTGCTTGCCATTGTCGGCCAAGGAGTCTCCCACATGGATCTGGGCTCCCCTGATTCTCTCCCCACAGCATTCGTCCTCCCTGTTCTTCACGATCACCGCGGAGACAGACTGACGACTGCCCAAGTCCACGGTCCACCACGGCTCTGTGTCGAACTGGGTGTGGCTGCAGGAACCTTGTGCCCACTTCCCATCGCGTTTTCCATCCACGGCCTTTCCAGCCACGGCTTTTCCTGTCTCTTTATTCTCGAACGTGGAGGACTGAGTGGCCGGGCGCCCCAGCGCCAAGTTCCGAGCTGGAACAAATGGTGGGAAGAGGGGAAGTGGGACGTGCCCATCACTAGGGTACAGGGGTGCTGGGAGAAGGTGGGGGCAGGAGAACATGGCCCTCCCATTTTTTACTGGCCATAAGGACAAGCAGCAAGGGGAGGGGCGGAGTCTAGGGGGGAAAGAGGCGGTGCAGGAACGGAGACTCGGGGGAAGGGGTGGCATGAGGATGGTGGTTTCAGTTCAGGCGGTGGTGCCCCCCCGCCACTGTTAGGAAGCTTCCGCCGCCTCTGCTGGGGGGCTCTAGACACCCTTTATCCCACGTGGAGCCAGAGCCATGTCCCAACAGTGACATAGAAACCAGCCACTGCATGAGAGCCAGGTTCACAGTGGGAGCCATGAGCCCAGAGACAGGAGTGACAGCGGGTCAGTGATGGGTTCTCAGCCCAGGCTGAGCCCCTCTCAGCCCTCCCCCCCATGTCCCATATCCAGCTGGAGCTGCTCCCCAAGGCAGGGATGGGGCAAGATATTCAGATGGAGCCCCCACTGTCTGCCCCTGCCAGCTGGAGCCCCCGCCCAGGTCAGTGGTGGGAAGGGAAGAGTCTCCCAGGGTTTCTACTGTCTCACTAGGCAGAGATTGGGGCAGAAGGGAATGGGGTATAACGTTGTGCCAGCTCTTTACCTCCTGGTGATAGGGCACAGCCCTGAGCTATGACCTCGACCTCACACAGGGTGAGAAACTCCGCCCTGCCCGGGATGACGATGGTGACATAGCGGCCCTCCAGCCCGTTGCAGCAGATGGTGCTGACGGATCCCGGTCTGGTGTCGGTGATGGTCCCGCAGCTAAAATCAGAGCAGAAGCCAAGAAGACAAAACAAGATAGATGTATTCAAATTGACAGGGCCTGATGAAATACACCCTCGGTTACTTAAGCAATCTCAGAACTATTAATGATTTGTTCGAGAACTTATGGAGGAAGGGTAAGGTCCCAGAGGAAAGAAAAAGGAGAAACATAGAATCTCTTTCTAAAAAGGGAAACAAGGAGGACGTCAGGAATTCTAGATCAATCAGCCCAAATTCCATACCTGGAACGAGACTGGAACAAATTATTGAACAATAAATTTGTTCAAACCTAGAGGATAACAAAGTTATATTTTGTAGCCAGCATGGATTTGTCAGGAGCAAATCATGCCAAACAATCTAATTTCCTTCTTTGACATTGGCCTAGTAGATAGGGGAAGTGGCAGATGTGATATATCTGGACTTCAGTGAGGCTTTTGACACAGTCCCACATGACATTCTCATACGCAAACGAGGGAAATGTGGTCTAGATGAAATCACTAGAAGGTGGGTGCGCAATTGATAGGAAAACTATACTCAAAGAGTAGTTATCAATGGTTCACTGTCAAATTGAGGGGATGTTTCTAGGGGTTTCCCATAAGGGTCTGTCCTGTTTTGAGTGCTGTTCAATATTTTCATTAATGACTTGGCTGATGGAGTGGAGAGTGTGCTTCTAAGATTTATGGGTGACACCAAGCTGGGAGGAGCGCAAGCACTTTGGGGGAAAGGATTCAAATTCAAAATGACCTTGATAAATTTGAGAACTGGTCTGAAATCAACAAGACTAAATTCTATAAAGACAAGTGCAAAGTACTGCACGTAAGAAGGAAAAATCAAATGCACCACCACAAAACGGGGCTTAGCTGTAGTACTTCTGAATAGGATCTGGGTTATCCTGGCTCTCAAACTGAATATGACTTAAGAGTGTGATTTTATTGCAAAAAAAAAAGCAAATGTCATTCTAGGCTGTATCACCAAAAGTGTTGTATGCAAGACTTGGGAGGTAACTGTCCTGCTCTATTCAGGACTGGTGAGGCCTCAGCTGGAATACTGTATCTGGGGCCCTTTCGTTTTTGGTTTTTATTTTCTTTCATTTTGCCTGGGAATTTATGTTTATTACAACACCAAAAACAGGTGAAAAATCGATGGAAAAAATGTAATTTCTCTGGATAAATATGGAGGCTTATTTTGGTGGAGGGAAGGACTGGGGGAAAAGGATTCATTAGATTAATGCTTTCATGAACAGAATTCAGTGTGGTTTGCTGCAGAACTAAAAGAGAACTCAGAATACAATGCCACCTCTGAGTTTAAGAAAACAATACCTCTCTAATCCCCACATAAAACTTTGCATTTGAAAACAGAGTTTACTGCTGTAGACTTAGAACTCTTACCCTAGAAATATTGACATTTAATAATTGGGCCACACCATTTGCAGTACGTACACTCAACTTCGTCCTTTTCGCCTACTTTTTTTTAACTTTTGAATATTTCCTTGTGTTCTGAAACAGATTTTCGTTTTCGTCCCATTTTAGTGTCAAATCTTTAAGCCGTTATCTGCTAATAGCTGGAAATGTGTATGTGGCGGGTGTGAGATTCATCGGTACGTTCAGATGCGCACACACTTCAGAGCTTGCATGCGAGCCTGTTTGTTTATTATGTGTATCTTCTAGACTAATACAGAACCTTACTTCAACAGGCAGCTTTGTGCTATCGTAATACACAGAGCTCACGCAATGGATTGCATTTTCCTAATGAAACAAGTTATTTTTTCTATATTTGAATGATACAAAAGTAGGGAGAAAAATCGGATACAAATGGATAATGCTTTTTATAAAACCTGAGATTTTTTCAGTAAAAATCAGTTTAAACCGAAAACAAAGGGGCTTAACTGTATCGAATTCTAGGCACTGCACTTTAAGAAACTGGAGAAAGTCCAGTGGACAGTAACAAAAATGATGAGAGGTTTAGACAACCTGACCTCTGAGAAAAGGCTGAAAGAATGGGATGTGTTTAGTCTAGAGAAGAGAAGGCTGATGGAGGACGTGATAACAGTCTTCAGACAGGTCACAGGTTGTGCCACAGGGTAGCAGGCCCCTGAGGAGGTCAGGCACCCAGCCTCCCCGTGACAGGCTCAGCTAAGGAGAAGGAGCCAACCCAGATCCACCAGTGAGCAGTTAATTCCCGAGGTGGCTGGGCATCCGCCAATTAGCTAAGGAAATCCTGGGCCTAACAAAGGGTTATGAGAGCTCAGTCAGGACACACAGATCACAGAGGAAGCTCCTGAGGAGAGGGGCGTCTCAGGGGAGCTGCTTAGGGAGCTCCCCAGGAAAGGGAACCTAGGAAAGGTGTCCTGGATGGAAGAGATGCTAAAAGAGGGGAGATGCCAAATCCAGAGGGAGAGCTGGTCATAGAGAAAGGACCTTTCCAGACAATGGCAGGGGCTCCAGACTGCAGCGGAACTACACATCCTGCGGAGAAGAGCTGCAATGGTTTGACCCCGGGGGGGGGGTGGTGAATCCAGAGAGGGAACCCTTTCAAGGTAATGGCAGGAGGGCAGACTCCAGAGCGGGGCACCAGGTTGAGTGGGCCTTACAGACAGGGCCAGATTTCCAATTATGCACAGTAGACACGTGCCTAGGGGCGCCGGCATTCTAGGGGTGCCCAAGGTTGCCAAGTTTGCAATTTTCTACCCAACTAGGCTATTTTTAGCTCTCACTTTCCGGGTTTTTTTAGCAGTTGCGAGTTGTGGTATTTTGGACTATTTTGCTGCCATGCTGACGCTGGCCGCACTGCTCAGGAGTTCTCGGGAGGGAGGGAGCCTCTCGAGCTGCCTCATGCCCTGCCGAGATGCCCCACACGCCGCTTGTCTCATGTCGTGCCCTCTCCCCTTAGGTGACGTTTGCAGCATGCACAGAATTCTTGCCCGAGAGAAGTCAAATTGATTTTTTCTGCAGAAAATGTGCTGCAGTTCCACCATTCCCCCTCCAGAGGTCGCTGGGGCCCCAGAGCCCCCTGAGCTGGTGGAGGCTGGCTGGTCTGGCGGGTGGCAGCGCACAGCTGGCAGGCGGGTGACGGGGGCATTTTGTCCGCAGGTGACAAGTCACAGCAGCCTTCTTGGAGCCAGGCGAGGAGGCAGAGGGCCACACAGGGCTGCTGGAGTGTCCCGGGGCCACATGGGCAGGGAGGAGGGGCGCTGAAGATGCTGTGCCTAGGGGCGCATAAGGTGTACATCTTGCCCTGCTTACAGGTCAGGAGCCTGGATGAAGGAGACGGATGGAGCCAAGCGGGGCAGACAGACGAAGGTTAACTCCCCTCCTCCCTCGTCTAGGATTCGTGGGGATGAACGCTGGCTTGTGTACTGTGTTTTGGCCTTTGGTTAAATAAATTAGACCCCTGATGGGGCACTAACGTTCACTACATCCAACCCTCATTGAATTCCCTGAAAGCCCACGAGGGGAAACAGAGGCAAGGACACAACCACAGTTCTGCACTCGGACGGGAAGTGGCGCTCCAGGGGCACATAACCAGCAGACCAGGTTGTTACAAAGAGATCGGTGATCAATTGCTCTCCATGTCCACCAACAGTAGGACAAGAAGTCATCTCCTCAATTTGGAGCAAGGAAGACTTAGATTAAATATTAGGAAAACCTTTCTGGCTCTAAGGATAGTTCAGTATTGGGATAGGTCACTGAGGGTGGGTGTGGGATCCCAGTCACTGGAGGGGATTAAGAAGAGGCTAGACTAACCCCTGCCAGGGATGTTGTAGGTCGGGGGAGTTAATAGGCTGACCACAGGGCGAATCTGGACCACCAGACACTTTTGATCACACCCCAGAAATCTTTTTATTGCCTTATTATCATCATTTGTTTATTATTTTCTTTGGAGTCTGTACCTTGACTATACCTTGACCGGGAACTTTGGACCTTGACAAAAAATAATTGACTCCCCCTGGTCTAGGTGTATTTGGCCCTGCCTCAGCATTGGGGGATTCACTAGATGTTCCCTTGAGATCTCTTCCTGCCCTACATCTCTGTGTATCTATATGGGGTGAAGGGAACACTGTAAGAGATGCTGCCTACCCCAGTCCCCATCACAACCCAATTCAGATTAGAAATACGGTATTCATTTTTATCAGCAGGGCTGTTTACCACTGGAGCAGATTACTGCGGGACACGGTGGATTCTCCCTCCCTTAGAGTCTTTAAATCAAAACCGGACATCAGTCTAATAGATACACTGCACCTCACAGAGAAATTGTGGGCTCTGTGCAGAATCACTGCAAGAGATTTTCTGGCCCGTGAGATACAGGAGGTCAGACTAGATGATTAGAAAGGTCACGTCTGGCCTCAGAAATCTGTGGATCCCAGAAAAATCAGTTCCTGTTCCGTTTGATGTGATGATCCTACTTGGGCAGGAGCTGTGAGGGTAGAGAGAGAACACACAGGGGCCTGAAGAGAGATCGGCTCTACCCTGGATTGCCCTGCAGGGGTCGCTGTGCTCAGTGACATGCAGTTCCCGTCCATCCAGGAGCTGAGAGCACCACCAGCACAGCGCTCCCAGCCCCAGGTAGCTCCGAGGGGAAGAGACCATGCCCTGGGAAAGCAACTCACATGGGGTTCTGCTTGCCATGGTCGGCCAAGGAGTCTCCCACGTGGATCTGGGCTCCCCTGATTCTCTCCCCACAGCATTCGTCTTCCCTGTTCTTCACGATCACCGCGGAGACAGACTGACGACTGCCCAAGTCCACGGTCCACCACGGCTCTGTGTCGAACTGGGTGTGGCTGCAGGAGCCTTGTTCCCACTTCCCATCGCGTTTTCCATCCACGGCCTTTCCAGCCATGGCTTTTCCTGTCTCTTTATTCTCGAACGTGGAGGACTGAGTGGCCGGGCGCCCCAGCGCCAAGTTCCGAGCTGGAATCGGAGGGCGAGAAGAGGGGAGGTGGGACGTGCCCATCACTGGGGGGCTCCAGATGCCCTTTGTCCCACACGTACCCAGAGCCACTTCCCGGCAGTGACACAAACCAGCCACTTCATGAGAGCCAGGTTCATAGTCGGTGCTGGGGTGTCAGCCCAGACGGATACTCTCTCACGCCACCCCACGTCCCATACCCAGCTGGAGCTGCTCCCCAAAGCAGGGATGTGGCATGATGTTCAGATGGCACCTCTCCTGCCTGCCTCTACCAGCTGGAGCCCCCGCCCAATTAGTGGTGCGAAAGGAAGAGCCTCCCAGGGTTTCTGCTGTCTCACTAGGCAGAGGTTGGGGCCGAAGGGAATGGGGTATTACATAAAAAATAACAAGTTTCCATTCAAGTTGTGCCAGCTCCTTACCACCTGGTGGTGGGGTGCAGCCCTGAGACACCCCAGTCCCGGCAAGGATCCCAATCGCCATTAGTAGATGCCAGAGAAACTCCATCCTTGCACTGTCAACATAGAAGATCACATGAATATTTTATTCAGAATAAGCTACACCCATAGCAAGTTTCAGATGAGCAGCTCACATATGCCGGATGGTCCTCATTTTACAGAGGGAGAAACTGAGGCACAGAGAGCCAGCAACCTAAGATCCTGAAGCAGGTAAGGGGCAGACCTGTCAATGGAATCAGGGTCCCTTAATGTCTATTCCCTCCTCTGCCCACTAGACCATTCTACTGTATTTATGACAATGTCTTCTGATTAGCTTCCACTGCCTTTTGGGGACAAAACGTGGCTTATCCAGAGAACCTGTCTTGGGGTGGGCAGATTCTATAATAGAGGTACTTACCCATCTGCCAATCAGGCTTTGTATGCCAATCT